GGGCTCGAGCCGGGGGAGGACTGGCACAGATGGGCGGGGGGCCGGGGGGGGATCTCAGAAACTCTGAATTCTGCCCGAGGTCCCGGCTGCTAGGGCGCACATCCGATTTACCCTCCTATGACAGTCACAGGGAAAGTGGGGACTGCAGCCTGTTTATTAACTCCTCCAAGCAGACGGTCGAGCCCAAGATTTCCATCGGGCGGTTGTGGGCGGGTGGGGCCCGGGCGGTTGGGGCCCGGAGGATGATCCGATGGACACTTTCATGAGGACCGATCGGAGAGTCAGGCCCCGGAACGGGATGCGAGGGATGATCTCAGGACACCCCTCGAGAGTAAAGGCGCAGCTTTAGCCAGTCCAAACCCTCCCGCCTGCGCGCAGCAGTCTGCGTTCCGAGGCCAGCTCCCAGAGGAAGGGCCCACCTGGCAGCGAGTGCCCTCCCTGTGGCTCCTTTCAAATCAGTGAGGAGAAGCACAGCAAACGCTTCTCTGATGCTGACCGGTGCCAGGGCAGGATAACGTCCCCCAGTGCTAGTCCCCGCGGTGGCGAGGGACCTTCCCGTTGCTAGTCCTAAGGAGGGATCCGCCTTCCCCTGCAGGCTCCCAGCCCTCCCTGCCCTTTCTTTCTCTAGCTATGGAAACTCACATTTTAAATCGAGTGAAAATTCCAGCTAAAAGCTAATTCAAATTAGTTCAGAAACTGAAAGAACCTGAGAACAGTGTGCAGCGCTTGGCCCAATTGCGAAAGCGCAATCGATCCCTGAAGTACAGAGAGCCTCGCTCTGCAACTGAGAGGCATCGGATTCCGACCCCACTATTGCGGGTGCAGCTGCCGCCCAGCTCTTCCGGAAAGGTGGCCCTGCTAGGCTGCAACACGCCGCCTTTCTGTTTCTGACGTCTTACCACATTTAGAATTTCCACTGTGGAAAGTAACTGGTGAGGCCAATATGAAAACACAGGCCAGAAGTGTTTGGGGTTCAGATCTGCAGCTGTGTAACAGGAGAGTCCGCTGAGCCGCTGAGAGGGAAGATGTATGCCGGCCTGGCGTTGCACGAACACTAGGAGGCGGTGGTTCTCTGGAGGCCGGGGCAGTCAACTTGGCTTCAGGGGACCCACACAGTGTTATGGGCTAAGACCTGAGGCA